AGGCCAGGAAGTTCTGGGTTCGATTCCACCTGTAGCCATGCAAGTTGACTGGGTGATTTTGAGCAGTCACCAGCTAGATTCACACATTCTGCTAAGCTGCATGTGCCCATTTTGTTTTTTCTGTAGCATGATGTGTTTGTAGATCATAGTTTATGGTTTACCAAACAAAGTTACTATGACATAGTCAAATCATGATTTAATGTGGTGTATGAACCCAGACTTTGTCAGCCAAACATACTTCACAGGCTTGCTGTTGTGATGATAAAAATGATGGGGAAATCCCCTCATAGTTAATGCTTAGAACTTTCAGGGACAAGGCAAGATAAAATTCTAAGGACAAATAAAAATAGAATAAAATATAAATTAATTTTGAATCCGTTGCAATTCCCTAGCAGTTAGTATCTTCAAGTTATGTTGGGTATGGATGACAGGAAATATGACTGAACACACTGGTTACCAATTTGGAAAAAAATAACAGTGGAATATCTTTTATTTTCCCACATAGCTTTGTAGTAATTCATGGATCTCCTTAGGATTGTTTTCAGCTTGTACCCAAAGAAACTACAAATTGTTACGGAATTTGCAGTGACCCACAGCCCAGGTTTTGCAGGCATAACTTAAACATACTATTTATATACTTATTGCCACTGTTTGTAGGCTGTCTCCAGCCAAGACTCACCATGGTGCATAAGAGAACAGAGAAACAGTGAACACAGTCACGCAAAAATCATCACATCATAAAAACATATCTCATCCATCATGGAGCAGGGAACCAGTTTTGGAACCAAACATGTTCTGGACATCTACTTTCATTGTTTAGCACTTTATGCTCCAAAGACTCTTAAGATGGAGCATCATGTTCACAGTCCTCCTCCACGTCAGTAGGAAGGGAGGCATCATGACTTCGGTGTCAATGTGTTCCAGAGCAAGGGGGCCACAGCCAAAAAGGCCTGCTTCTGGACCCCCATCCTTTCTGACAAGTATTGAATTTGCCTCAGTACTACTCAACCAGGCCTGGTTGATGTAACACTTTAAATTGCAGTGTAGTTTGTGCATCAACCAGTTTTGGTTTATTCAATAAACTTCAATTAAACCAGGATCTGTTCAATAAACCATGGTTAAATAGATCATGGTTTAGTGCAGTGCAACAAACTAGCTGTAATGTGCTGACAAGTCCTGAATAAAAATTTTAACTTAATATGATTCTCCCTGTCCACCAACAACATCTCAATTTGCAAAATGGATTTAAAACAGTTTTCTGCTACAACTCCTGTCTGGTCTGCTGCTTGTTAATTTGCTCTGAAACAATTAATTTCTGCAGGCCAGCTGCATTTTTCTGCATCTACCTAGTTTATCATGGTACAGTATCATTCTGCGCAAACCTGCTTTTGTTTCCAATACCCAGTTTCCATTTGGTTGTGTTGCTAAGCAGTGCGTGGATAAACTTGGCCACAAGCCTGTCTGAACTAGTCTGGTTCAGACTCAAAGCGATAGCTAAGCCGCAGTTCAGAGATGTGAGTCAGAGTTGTGATTTAGGAGGCAAAGTTGATTCTGCACCCACACACAGGTTTAAGTGGGCGGCTAAGCAGAATGACTGAAAAAAGAACTATTTTTTTTTAAAAAACAGGCACGTTAGCTCCCTTTTTTCTTGTAAAAAATGTCCAAAGGACCTTCAGGTCATTGGCATCAAATGAGAAATACAATTTATGAGAGTATCTTTGGTTTATACAATGTGGAGCACAATCTGATTTCAAAGCCAGAGCGTATAACTTTGCCTGAACGCACTAGTTCATAATTGATTAACATAATATTGCATCTAGAATTTCAGTGTTTATAAAGTTAATTAATAACTTGAACCCTGGAACACTGTGATACCCTGGAGCAACTTGTAAAGAGTTTAATTTGTTTAATTTATAAAGTATTATGCTTCTTACATCACTGCATTTATACAGTATGAGTTTCTGATTATTTTGTTTTGTTGGAACCATATAATATACTAGACTACCTTTGAGGGGCCACAGTTAACATTTTGGGGAGGACCAGAGACTACAGTGGGTAGGGCACTGATGCAAAATGGCTGGAGCTGTGTCACACATGTTTCGTTTGGGGTAGATAAGAGTTTTCCCATTATGTTTTAAACTGTGTTAAGCTTAACCTGAATCTGTCGGGGTAAGCAACTTGTGGCCTTCCAGATGTTGAACTTCTACTCCTATAGTGGTTAGTGGTGAGAGACCCTCTAATTTAACAACATCTGGAGGGAGGCCAGATTGCCTCTTTTTGCATTATAGGTTTTATGTGTTTCCTATTGCAAAACGGAGGAAATAAGGGCACTGATTTTTTGTTACGTAAGAAAGAGAACTATACATGTGGTGTTTGAGAGCCTTAGGTAGCTCTTGGGTCCTAGGCTACCCCCCTTGGTCTGTCTGTAGGATAACAGTAGCCGTGTCAGCCCCACCAAGTCAGCCAGACCAGAAAATCAGCTCCACAACAAGATGAGAGCTACAGTTCATTAAAATGGGCTATAATAACAGAATCTTGCAAACCTGAATGTGCTTTACTTCACCTCCTTCTTATACCCCCAGGGAACCAGGGAGGAGCCTTCTTGAGTCACTTCCGAATATTAACCGGCTTCCTAGGACTTAAAGAATGTTTCAGCCCTCTTTGCTTATGTAACGGTTCTTGCGTAGTACCCTCAAGGTCGTCTCCCTTACTGTGCCCTCTACAAGCGGTTGTCTTCGGAGTCTCGTTACAATTGCAGGAGATTCCATTCCCCTTTGGGAGGTGAATTTGCTGTTGGAAATAACTGCTTCCAAGCTGACAAGTTCAAATATTTTTATTATTCACATACCACCTACTCAGCGTTTCACGAAGGAAGGGCTTTCACAAAGTAAGGTGGGACATTTCTCTGCCGCAGGAAGCTTGCAAATTTAAATGCATGGAAGCAACAGAGGAAGGGATAGAGAAATGACACATTCTTCTGTTCAGTTCCCCTTTGGTGTAGTTCCAAGACAGTGTTGGGACTCACCAGTGGACTAGGACTGGACAGTGTTTGAGAAGGAAGGATAAACAATTGATATTAACACTCTTTTAGCTGTGAGGCTTTCTCCCCGGTGGAGCAGTTGACCTGGATGGTAAAACAGCACGGACAAAGCAGTGGGGCTGACCCAGCCTGGGGAACTTCTGCTGATGCTCACCCTTTGACATTGGAAAGGGGATGTTTTAGAACAGGTGACACACAAAGCAGGCAGCCCTAGGAAAACTCTGCCAGGAGTCACTTTAGGCTAGACAATTGTTGCCTGCTGTTGGCGCCCAGCTGCTATTTATAGGTATCATCTAAACCTCAAGGCCTTTGCAGACAATGGCTGTGGGCTAGTCATGATTGATGTTTGGAGGCAGCATATCCTGCCTGCCTCTGCCGAGGAGGATACAAGACCTGTTGAAGACTGGGACCTGCAGGAGAGGGTCATGTCCCAGCTAGTTGTCAGGGAAGAACTTGAGACAGCCATTTTTCCTAGAGCTGAAGAGGATGATTTGTTGGGATCTATTCCTCATCCTGGCCCAAAAGAACAACTGCACCTAAGGTCGCTTGAGTGAAGACACAGCACCTGAAGTTAACAACTGGCAGGATCTGAACTTTGTTGGCAGCAGAATTGGGCAACATGGGCAGGAGGAGATGCTTGGTTCCAACAGATTTAGGTTTGCCCTGTCCCCTCCCTTGATGTTGCTTGCACCTGAGATACTTCTCTAAGCATCATGTGAATCTGTCTCGTGAGTTCAGTTCCAGGTGCAAGAGTCCTGAATTGGGACCTCCTCTTTTTGCCTACTCCTTCAGCACTGAACTAAAAAAGCTTGCTAACTGTGAACTGTGTTGTCCATGGTTGGCTACAAATCTCATGTATTCTAGCTGCTTCCCTTGGCTTTCACTTTGCAGTAAAACAACTATGCCAATTTAAAACAACTGTTGCCAATTTATAGCAGTTACTGTACTGTAAAACAGTGCATAGCAAAAGAAGCGTTCACTGGAATAGTGTCTTGCAAAGGGGCAAATGAGCTGCTCCCTTTTCTTGGGTTACACAGTACCCTTCCCAAACCCAGCACCTTTGAGATAAATTGGGCTACAGTTACCATCATTCCCTGTACTCAGTCAGTGGCACCTTTTCTACCTGGGAACTACAGTACATCACTCCTCAAGGCCACATTCTTGGGAAAATCAAAAGTGTGCTGAAGAGACTCATGATCCTCCTAATGTCCACTGATATCTGAAACAGAGTGAGAAAACAACCTCTGACCCAACCTTATAGTGTGGTAGGAATTAGGGAAAGAGGTTCACCCAGCATCAAACGTGTGAGGACATCAATAAAGTTGTACAATGTTTTTTCATCCAGGAGTTCAAGGCAGTGTGGATAGGTCCCTTCCTCCAAGTTCTCCCCACAGCAAAAATCCTGTAAGTTGAGTTGGTTGGAGTTATAATACCTGGCCAAGGTCATTCAGTGCCTTAACTGTCACATCTCCCTTGCAGTAAAGTCTTCGTGTCTACAACAGATAACAATGGATCCAGGGGAGAGAGAGATTCTCCTTTTCTTCTTGAAGAAAGGAGAAGACCCTTCTTCCGTTGAGTGTGTAGAGCAGTGTTTTTCAACCTTGGCAGCTTGAAGTTGTCTGGACTTCAACTCCCAGAATTCCCCAGCCAAGGTTGAGAAACACTGGTGTAAAGATTAGAGAAGAAAGGAGCAGAAGGACTTTTTATAGCACTTAAGAAAATGCCATAAATCCCACCTGCCTGGCCTTCTACCAGAAATAATACACTAATGTTGACTTCTTTTTCTTCTGAATCATTTAAATCCCTCAGAGAGGTCTTCATGCCTTATTTATAGACAGCCTTTTTTAAAACAGCCATATATTATTGGACTAGGATTGGAAAATCTTGCTATTTCTATGCACCTGCTTATGTCTCTACGTGTTGAAACAGACAAGACTGTCCCCATTTTTTCCTCTCCTAGGCAAGCTATACAAAATGTTCTCCCGATTAAGAATAGCTGTTTCCCCCTGCATCTTGGCACACCGTGGCATACATACGAGAGAGAAAGGCAAGCTCTTGATGCTGAACCCCAGGACAAACAAGGTAAGTCTCATGGGTGTGTTGTATGCCACATCTTGAGTTTCCAACTGTGCTGTGAAGCTTACCATAAGCTAAAACTGCTGCAAGAGCTTTGTGTTCAAACGTAAGGCAGCGCCAGATTTAAGAGAGAGAGAGAAGCTCATTATTGAGCAAAGCCAGAATGACCACAGTTTGTTGGTAGGTAGTCACTCAGATGAAGAGTTGCAATGTGGACAATTGTAATAAATCCCCCCTTTGCTGTATTATTGTATCCCTCTTCATGGCCCTAGTGCAGGGTCTCTCAAGCTTGGCAACTTTAAGACAGGTGGACTTCAACTCCCAGAATTCCCCAGCCAGCAT